TTTGATAAATCTTTATCATATTTTGGTTTGGGACAAATTCCGCAACACTCTTATTTAAAATGTTACTCTGATTTTCAAACAAGCATAAACAAAAATCGGTCTTTTCTGGCCGTGAAAATGAGAATGTCACATCAACTGAATGTATCCTAATCAGATACCAATTGTAGTTCGTTTGAATCGAGTTTAGAAAACGAAATCAAGAACAGAATGCAATAAGAACAAAATCGTAAATAAGTTCTGTTTAGCTCATTGATTCGTCTAAAAGAGTACAAAGTACAAGAGAGAAAGTATGAACGGTGTTCACTCAAAGCCTACACTCTACTTCTATACTAACCCTATTTATAGGGTACATCAGACAACAAAAAATATGTAAAGGACTAAATGTTAAGATTCGACATCATACAGTGCCTTACAAAATACATACATAGCGAAGGTTAGAATTCGCTACAAAACAAACCTAAAGAGTTTCGACATCTCACTGGACATTTCGAACCCTACACCGCATACTTAAGTTATACAATGCCCTCATTGTATAAATAATTAATTAAGCATGAAATAAGAGAGAGAGAGAGAGAGAGAGAGAGAGAGAGAGAGATAGAGAGAGCAATAACGAACTCCTCTTAGGTATATAGTGACCAGATTGAATGATTGATATGGGTAATTATTGATACAATGCTCGAATCGTCTTGGATGAATTAATTTTGGAACTAAACTTCATTGCTGATAATAATGAGCACTTGGCATCAAAGTATGGAATACACTAATCTTTAAAACTCAAATAAATAATATGGCAAGGCACTTTCACGTCACGAGCATTTATATGTCACGTCCCAATCTTTGTAAGCTCTGAAACATCATATAGCGATGAAAAGCTTCCTCGCAGTGTGCAATTATGATTGATATGTCGCGATCTTCATAGTTCAGGAAGGTAATCACGATGGAATTGAATGTCACGTTGCTAATAGTAGTGGCTCGCTACACTACTACGTGAAAAATAAAATTCTCAAATCGTCGAAAAGAATCGACCAATTGGGAAGGTGATCAGGCTCTCGACTAGTCTCTCATATTTGTATCCTCTTTCTAACAATGATAACCCCATAATTGACGGTATCGCTCCATGTCGAATGTGTACCCCACACTTAGTTGTGGTCATGCCTCTTGCCTTCTTTTCGTAATAATCCACCCTACTCTTGCATCTTGTCCTATCTTAGCTGAAAAATAATTTGCAACAAAATAAGAAGCATAAAAAGCAATTTTATTTAAAACTAAAAACTAAAATTAAGAATTAAGAGTTAAAAATGAAAAGAAAATGCAAACAAATTTTTAATAAGCTAGGTTGCCTCCCGATAGGTACTTCTTTTTGTGCGAGTCTTGAGCTGGACTCCTAACTTAATAAATTACTAATCTAGTTTTAGCTAATTCATTTGTTGCTTCAAATATTCTTTTTGACCTAATTCGTTAAAATCGAATCTTTACTTCTAAAATCAGCCATATGAGCTTGTATTTGTCAATCTCCAAAATATCGATAAGGACTAATGTTGGTTGGACACTAATCATAAAGTGGTTGCACTTCAAAAAATTCTCCAGAAATGGAATCTTCATCACATCCAACAAAATATAAAACTTGAATCATGGGAACTCAGGTCGCTACTAGTATGAGTTTGCATTGTAAAAACTAGGTTTCAGCTTCTTTCGAGTCTTCTGCCAGCAACCTCTCCAGCTCCTCCAAATCTCTTTCTAGATCGAATGGCTCATCATCCAGCTCTAATGCCTATAACTCACGCTCATGAAAAACATAAAGCTTTTATAAACTATATAATCCATTTAAAAATAAACATAAAAACTAACAACTAAACTTTATACAAAGTTTAACTAACAAATAAATAATATGAACTACATACAACTGTTCTTCCATGCAACGTCGCCAAAATCTTAATGTGTATGTGTGTCTGTGTGTGTGTCTATATATATATATATATATATATATATATATATATATATATATATATATGTATGTGTGTCTGTGTGTGTCTATATATATATATATATATATATATATATATATATATATATATATATATATATATATATATATATATATATATATGTGTGTGTGTGTTTGGTTCACTTTTCTAGCAAGCCCCAAATTTTGAACAATGAAGCCCCAAATTTTGAACAATCACTTAATTGCCAATTTAAGTGACATCCTCTTTTGTATTTCGTTTAGCATTATTAGAATAGTTCACAAACTTAGCTCATGCACACGCAATGGCGATTTTGTTTGGTGTCCCGATGTGACACCGACAACACCTATTTTTCTTGTACGTAATGAAAAAAAATTTTGATTTTTTTTAATCTATTTTTCCTATACCGGCAACATTTACTACAACCTCGAGAACACCTAATATGTATACATGCGTCCGCCTGTGTACGCACGTATGTTGTCTTGAGCTTATATTGATAGCTGGTGAGTGTTAAACTTCATTAGTTTTGTCGACAACGTGATTAACTAAACATAAGAGATTTATCAATATTTATGTGGTTGTTTTGACGTTTAACGGAGGACCACCTATAGTACTAGGTTGAGAGGTGAGAGTATTTTGGAATTTTGTAAGCATGGGGGCATGTGAGAGGCCTTTCTCGTCCTCAATAATTTGAGAAACGTGTAGATTTAAGTGATGAAGAAAAAGTAAACCAATTGAAAAGGACAAGGGGACAGTTAAAGTATTCGTTTCCAATAATTTTCATTTATTTTTCTTTTGCATCTATTTAACGAATAACCAAACGTTTCTAGCGTTTTCATGGTGGGAATTTATTCAAAGATTATTCTCAAAAGTTATCATAGAATTTAGTTTAAAACAAATGTCTTCAACTTATTACAAACCATTTTATTTTTAAAAGAAATTATCAACTTATGTTATTTATCTACTTTCTCAAGTTCAACCGGTCACCCATAAATTATACTTACTAGAGAAAAATTTACTACTTCTCATACTTGTTTAGAAAATAGTTATAAGCTTGTTTTACATTTTTTTAATGCAATATATTAAACAGATTATATTTTTCAAATTACTTTTCAACTTTCATAGAAATGATTTTAAACAAAGTATTTTATATATGTTTTAAACTTTTCTTATAGTTGTTTAAATTCTTTTTTATATTTTCATATAACTTTTTTTATAACTATCGAAAAATATCGTGTTAAAATAATTATAAAAAATACTTTACAAACTTTTAGTTAAAACGTATAAAAAAGTTATATTTTTGTAAACATTTACAAAATATATATATTTTTAAAAGTAGCTGTACTAAAATTGTATGAGAATGAATAGAAAAAAAGAAATTATAACCCATGTTTAAATCGTTGTTGTATTATAAAATAAAACAAGTTTTTAACTTTTTTGTAAATAAATACAATATGTAGTAAATTTTTCTATAAAAAAGTTGTTAAAGTAGAGTAAATGCATTTAAAAAACGTGTAAAAAAAACTAAGAAAATTTAATTAAAGAATGTTGTAAATAATACTAAAAATTTTACAAAAAAAAAACTTATAGAAAAATAAATTTGTAAATTAAACTAAAATTGTGATGAATTGGTATGAAATTTAATGTTCGGATAAAATTCATAATAATATTTAAAATCCGGATAAAAATGTATAATATATAAAAAACATGAGTTGGTTAGCTTTTTAAAATTAAGATACATCTGTTATTAATTTGAAAATATTTTAAAAAGAAAATCACAATCGCAGTGATAACTCAATTTAAAAATCCCACAATTTTTATTATGTTAAGCTTATGAAAAATCTAGTACTCTTTAATTTTCATCTTAAAAATCAACGTGTTGAAAACCTTTAGATTCAAGATTTTAGTAGGTAAATGACCAATTCATTACTTGTAGTAATTTTTACGATAAAAATAGCTTTTAGTTGCTTCATTGAATAGAAAATAGAAAATTTTCTAAAATTTCAAAATTAAAATGTTTATTCTTTTTAAAATTAATAATCTTTTGCGTATAACTCTTTTATTAGTAGTATCATCATCTATCATTTTACTGTATAGAGGGACTTTTTTTGTGAAATGTTTATGTTTTAGTATCCATATCCGACATAGCTATCGTAGGTAACTCTGCAAATACAGACAAACAAGTGTCGAATTATGATCTGTGAACGAATGAAATTCCAAACTTAGGTTCGATAAAAAAAAATGTTAAAAATCTATCTATTCATATCTGTTTGGAATGGAGATAGTAATAGTTTTTATGAGTAGACGGACTATTCATAAAAAACATTGTTGTGGCATCATATTTCATCGACCATAGATAAATTAATAAGCATAATATTTTAAAAGTGCAAATAAGTACTACAATTTACCGAGTATCTAATAAAACCATGAAAGGAAGCAATGTATGTAGGGTTATGTGATTATGAAAAAAAATCATAACACTATTTGCAAGGGAAACCATCAACATCACTTGCTATGATAATGTGAGAACATCTTATACTTCGAACTTGTTCAATCTTTTGGAAAATGACAAAATTATGTCTCTTACATTTAATTTCAACAAGAGATGATGTCAACAAAGCAAGCATTTGAGCCTTAATTTGTCCCTATAAAGCAAGCTTAATGCAAGAAAACCAATCTTGCTTTCTACTTCTATATGAATATTTAATATATAATTTTCTTGAAATTTAAAAAGAAAAATGGTAATAAAAGAGATAGAAACTTACCTTCAACAAAGTGTCTGGCTTGTCAAAAAGATTGACCATCTTTCCAGTCAACACTTCAAGCAAGACCACACGATAGCTGTACACATCACTCTTCACCAAAAAATGTTTGGTCATGACATATCTTAGGGCCACATACCTATAAATCAATTCCAGTTCAACAACTACTATAATCATGTATGTTTAAAAGCTGAAAACAAGTGATCAAAGAAGAATGGGAAGTAACTAACTGAATGTAGCCACCACACGAGTACACAAAAAGTTGCTCTTCCGCCTGTTGAGCTAAGCCAAAGTTTGCACCTTTAACATGAAAGTTTTTCTCCAGTAAGATAATAGAAGCCTAAGATTTTTGTGAATCACACAAGGCTGTGAATCCTCATGTAGATACACCAGTCCTCTTGCAGCATCAACGAAATTTTCATTGTCTTTGTCTCAATCCAAAGGCAAGTTGAACACTAGTGGGAGTGTAAATAGACAATTATACCCTTACCTCTCATTGAAAATTTTATAAGAAAATGGTATGAGGAAAAAATCCTCCTCCTAGATGAGCTTCCACAGTCCATTTCTTAGCTAATGTCAACATGAACAGAAGGTAAATAAGGTAAACATATGAAAAAGGAAAAGCATATAAATAGAGCATCATTTCATACCAATTTCTTTTGCAGTGGTTTTAGTCTTCTTTTTGCTTATACATGCTTCATTATAATATTACAGATGTTGGGTTAATCGGTTTCCCGGGTCATGGGTCGAAGTTGCGGATACGGTTCAATGGGTTAGAGCTTGAATTGGTCATATAATACCTGTACTATATTTTGTTATGCACAAGTTTTATTAGAGTTTACTTGGTCACAAGTGATGAGGTTGTTTTTCCTAGCTTTTAGGAAGTTCACGTAGCAATAGTAGGTTAGCTACCTTTTCTTTAGGATTAAGTTTTTGTTTCTTATTTAATGTAACTTGTGAGATCAATGAAAAAAGTTCAGGTAGTAAAACTCAAAATCTACATTAAGTGTGTGTGATTGTGTGTGTTTTCAAGGGCCTGATCCAACAATTGGTATCAGAGCGAAGGTTGAAGAGGGCCGGTTTGAGAGTCGACTTTCGAAAGGAAGGAGCCTTCGGGTGCGGGGCTGCCATCACAGCGAAAGCCGGGTGTTTGGCAATGGCTGGTGTTTGGCAATGGCTTCTTCGAGGTTCAAGTTGATACAGATGTCAGAAATTGTTGTGTGCAGCAGGTGGCTGCAGTTTATTGTGGTGATTTGCTGGTTGAAACAAGAAGCGATGATGGTGAAGTAGGTCGCAGAGGGTCGTTGTGCTTCTCTGTATAGCATACAATGGGTGTTAACAGAGATGAAGGCGATTGTGAGGGTGCTTCGAGGTGTTGTTGCTCATGATTTTCACTGGTGTAGAATCCAATGGTTGTGCTCTTGGATGTGAAGGCGAGAATGGTAGTTCTTCCGGCGGTAGGTTGTGGGTATGTCACCGGAAAATGGAGAGAGTTACCGGAGATGCATGAGAAAACGAACAGAAAATCGGTCAAAGCAGGTGGCTTTGGGTTTGTTTCGTTTTGCAGGTGAAAGAAGACGGGAAAAGCGGGTTGCTTTGTTTTCTTGATCGGTGGAAGAAGGCCCTCGTTTCACAGAAGTGTTAGGTAAAAACGGATTATGTGTGGTGACAAACAACAGTCGGGTATGGAGGACTTTGGACGTGACCGAGGTGGAGGTCGGGTGTCCGGGAAAAGTCAAGATTGGGTGAGGACTTTGGATGTGACCGAGGTGGAGGTCGGGTGTCCGGGAAAGGTCTTGAATCGAGATGAAAAAAGGGTGATCAAAGGCTGCTGTGAACAACCGATTAAGGGGGTGATTGTTGGGTTAATCGGTTTCCCGGGTCATGGGTCGAAGTTGTGGATACAGTTCAAAGGGTCAGAGCTTGAATTGGTCATATAATGTCGGTACTATATTTCGTTATGCACAAGTTTTATTAGAGTTTACTTGGTCACAAGTGATGAGGTTGTTTCTTATTTAATGTAACTTGTGAGATCAATGAAAAATGTTCAGGTAGTAAAACTCAAAATCTATATTAAGTGTGTGTGATTGTGTGTGTTTTCAAGGGCCTGATCCAACAACAGATGCAAGGATTTCGTCTCAGATGACACAAATAAGAACATAAAGCATCCAACCAAATCCAACATTAGATATAACATCAGGTCCTCACAGCTTAAATCACGGAAACAAAAATAGATTAACCAAATAATGTGAATCTAAGTGTGAGATATCAAGTGTGTCCAATAGTAAGAACGAAAGAGATGAGGCTTACACTAAACGATTACAGAGTGAGAATATTCATTGTTGTGGAGTTGTTGCTAAAGCAATCGGACGAAGAGTCTAGGCATTTGAGGCAATCGAGATGCATTCCCTGTGAGCATGACACCGGCACATGACAAACCCTAAACCCTCGGTGCATGAGTGTGAGGAGTCGATTTGTACACAAAAACCCTAAATCGATCGCAGGTGAGTGTGAGGAGTCGATGTGTACACAAAAATCCTAAATCGATCGTAGGTGTTAGAATATGAGTGTATGGTATTTTGAATGCGATCAAGAGGATGAATGAATCGCCGACACAAAACAAAAAATAATAATACGATTTATTTGTAACGAGGAGTAAAAAAAAAGGCATGGCATTTTTTTTTCAATTTCGGTACTATCGTAATTGGTCTGGCAATTAAAAGGCCTTTTTCTAGCAGTGAGGGTGGTGTTCGATTCGATAGCAGTGGTGGCGGTGTGTATTACGGTAGTTGTGGTGGTGGGTGTATATGTGTGGAGATGGTGTCATGTAAAAGGAGGTGGAACATTTGTGAATTTGCTGAAAAAGCAAGTGGTAACCTATTTAGTTTTTTTAAATGACGTTTTAAACTTTAAAAGCTGAATTTGTACATTTATAAAACCAGGAAATAACTTGAAGAATAATAAACAAATTTTAGCCTATAAAACAGAAACTAACTATGATGAATATTTAAACAAATTTGAGAAAATTTGTTGGTCAATAATAACATTAATCCTATATTCATTTCAGTGTATCCATGGTATAAATATGATAGCTTAGTTATTAACCATCAAATTATTTTTTTAAACATACATTAATTTGCGTGTGCACGTACGCACACTATACACGCACACTATGTACTACATCCCACATAATTTTTGCAAATGAAGTAAAAATAATTCATGAAAGGTACTCCCCTTCATTTGTTATGTAATTCAATCTCAAGAGCTGATCAGCCTAATTAATAGGTACGAGCCTGACCTTCAAACCATATTTCATCTGGAGTATAATGGAATCGCCTGGACAAACCTTATGACCTTCGACCACCTCGACATGGTAATGATAAATGATTGCTATCGCCACCATTTTCATCTGAATAAAACCCATTTCCTTACCCAAGCATGTCCGTGGCCCCGCATGAAACGCCGTAAACTTATAAGATGGTTCGTGCTTTACCCTTCCTTTTCCTTCTTCTGAAAACCATCTTTCGGGTTTAAACTCCATGCAGTCCTTCCCCCATATCCATTCCATCCTTCCCATCGAGTAGAACGAAAGAATAATCTTGCTGTTCTCATTCACTGCATGTCCACTTGGAAGGACGTCCGCCTCATATGGCGACTTGTGCTCCAAAGCAACAGGGGGATACAGCCGCAATGCTTCACATAAACCTCCGTGAAGATAAACCAGACCCCTCAACTCTTTTACACCCAAACTTTTCCAATCTGCATCACCAACTTCCTTCTCAATCTCCCCTCGGATCTTGCTCTCTATGCTAGGGTTTTGTGCAAGGAGATAGAAAAACCATGAAAGACCTGTGCTTGTGGTGTCTCTCCCGGCAATCATCAGATTCAGTATCGTATCTTTTAAAAACCTTCTTGAGTCCCCTGAAGTCCCGGTTTGTCCTTGGAAACTTGTCATCAAGGATTTTAACAACCCAGTCGTCTCCTCCTTCTCTACTCTTCCATCATTACCAAACTCTTCTTCTTTCCGTGACAAGCATTTATAAATAAATTCATCAAAAACCTTACAAGCTTCGGTCAACTTCTTCTCCTTGCCCATCCCGAATCTCTGTTGCAACTTCCAAACTCTTTCCGGCAACACATGCCTCCACAGAAGAGCTTCTTCGGCATCAGTGAAGGCCTTCTCGCACGCATTATATGGTAAATGGACAGACAGGGTTTCAGGATCATAATCTAAAAGTAATGCACAGATAGCGTCAAAAGTAAACCTCTGAAATATTTCCTGCAAATCAATGGCTTGCTGATTATGGGAGACCAAATCCAGGAGAGGGAGAAGCCCTTTCTCGATCTTGTTCCAGATATTTTTTTCCAGGTGAGAGTTGAAGTCTGGGTGTTTGAATAGAGACATGGTTGTTTTCCTTTGGATTTCCCATACCTCGTGATCTGAGTTAAAGATCCCATCTCCAAGGATATCAAAGATCTTTCGGAACTCTAGTCCTTTAGGATAGTTGGGGAAGTTCTTGCTCAACATGTAGTGAATGTTGGTGGGGTCCGAGGTGACAAGCATATCCATATTGGCAAACCAAGGACCTTTAAGCATGAAAGTACCATTGCTCTGTTTGAGAAGATCAGTAGCGAAATCATGGACTCGGTAAGCATTTAGAATGAGATCGGGGGCCATGCCAAAAACGGGCCAATTAGTAGCAGGACGTGACCTTCTCCTGTAAAGGAACACGGAAATAGAAACAAACAACAAAACGCAAAGGAGAAGCATATCGAGGCTATAGAGCAAAGCCATTGGATTTTGTTTAATGTTTGATATCTAGTCTAGCTCGTTTATAAAGGCAAGGAGATGCGCAGGATGGCGACAACAATCCGATTTTTGACAACCACATAATTTGAAAGTAAAGTTACAGTTATGCCCCTGATTTAAATTAATAGAAAACTAGTCAATCGCATAAAAGATAATGAAAACCATCAAAACTTCAGATATCGTCACTTGAATCTCCATTGATGGACACGTGATAGCAATTAGCCCTTTACAGGGAATTACCATTATTTTAGTTATTAACTGGCAAGTAATATGCTGCAACCAATGAATCTATCATATTACAATGTAAAATTTTCATACAATACATCACTGCAGTAAGAGATGTATTAAATCATGTAAACGTATAGAAATTGCATCAACGTCAAATGAACTAAAGCTGAAACAATTTACCGAATAGCAGTGAATTCTGAGTAAACTCCAAGTTCCGTTAATGGTGAGGGGCTAGGAGAACGTAGGACGATTGTGCAATGGTAGATGATGATATCAGTCTATTAGACTAGGGGAGTTATTGCGATTTCATAAACGCAAAAGGTAAAATAAAGATTACCGTTTCTTTTTAAAGAATTCTAATGCACTACTGGAAAATGATTACTGGAATACACCACATATAATATCGTTGTAATAAAAATCCTTATTATAAAAAGATAATAATAATCTATTACATGAATATGATACGGTTGTTAGGGTATCCGGTACTAGAAAAAGTGAATATGCCGGCTAATTTACGAGGTACATCTTTGAAATCTAATACGGCTTAAAACCTAAATCAAATACAACTCATTTGAATCAAGTTCAGATATTAGATATAAATATCCATTCATTCTAATTCGGCTCACCATTAGCTTCAAATACAACTCATTTGATAGCTGCATGTCCTTTTCACATACCATAAGAAGTATGTTTCCTTTTGTTAATTGACAGTTTGAAAAGTTACAATGCCTTTTGTTGTTGCCATGGATGGATCTGACTTGTTAGTTTTTTTGATCTTTTGTTACTATAATATATACTTGATTGGTATTTTGGATGATTTGTGTAAAAAAAATCTGCATAGGGACCTATTCTTTAAATTTCTATTACACATGACCAATTATATTGCAATTTTTTTCCATAGGGGCCATTTTTGTAATTGTTTATGGACCATTTCTGTAAAAAATCTGCACACGGACCTATTCTGTAAATTTCTATTACACAGGACCATTTATGTTGCATATTTCTACCACATGGGCAATTTTTGTAATTGTTTATGGACCATTCTGTAAAAAAATATGCACAGGGACCTATTCTATAAATTTCTATTAGACAGGACAATTGCATCAAGTATACCCTTCACTTCTCCTCACCATTCTTACTTATTTTGTTTTAAATTTTCCTTTCTAAATTTCACAAAAAAAAAAAAAAAACAAAAAAACAAAATCACTTTTAATGTCATGAAGGCATGACATTTTTCACTCTTAATAATATAATTAATTTTCATGTTTTACATTTCTAGTTGCATTGTGCCTTTCAAGACATTAGGGAGTAATAGAATGACTGACTAACTTTAGCACTTCAGATATACATAGTTCCCACGTTTTAAACTAATGATTTTCAAGTATATTTTCCAGCAAGATATAACAATGTACTTTCATTGATTTGTATTTTAGAGCAGCTTACTTTCATTTCTTCCTATTACAGCATTGTACATTTAAATATCTATCCAATTATACCAATTTTCACTGCTAAAATAAGGTGAAAAATAAAAAAATTCAAAGTACCATGCTGTAATTGACTAGATTTTTTCAAAGAACAGTCCTTAATAAGAAAATAATTGGAAGAACAAAGCTGTAACAGAAGAAAAAAATAGTTGGATGCTATATCAAACATTTTTATATACTAAAGTTTTTAATAATGTTTTAAGCCTAAAGACCATGAATAAGGGTAAATAACTAATATGATGTAGGTTGCAACATTTCTTTTTTTCGGAAAAAAAAACAAAGCCAAAGTTACAAATTTCTTATTTCGTACATTTAGCCCTGAAAGTACCAATTTACCCTTTGCAAAAAATCGATAAACTTATAGTCTGAAACTGGTACGTGGCTGAATAAATCAGTTTGATATTATTTTTTGATGAAATATTACAAGACTAGATTGAAAAGTTGTGATATGTATATGAAATTACCAATTTATCCTTTGCAATAGAAAATTGGGAACGCCTCTTTTTATCATTCCGTATTCTTGTTTTTCCATTGTGTTTCTTATATACTTTGTTTAGTACATGTTCCTGTTTTTTTGAGACGTTAATTGAAGGCAGCATAGGATTGGGTAGATGGAATGATTCCTCCATTTCCTACACATATGGTTTAAAATATACTTGACAATCGAATTTAAAACCGTATGTCCATATCTTTGCATTTGCAATCTCCTCATTGCCTTTGTTATGCGTTTGCCTAACATCGACAAATTGGCTATAATACACATATTCTTTCATGATATTATTAGATAACAATAACAATTCAAGTTATTTTTCTCTTTTTATCCATTTTAACCAATATACAGTCAGTTTGAATTTGAAATTGCAGAATATTGATTGGGTTTTAGAAAATTATTATATATAAGTGACACATTTTTTTTGTGGTCCTCCAACTTACAACATTGACCCTTCATCTTTATGTTTTTGTTCACAAACAACCCTTTCACTTTGGTTTGAATTTTTCATAACCCTCGCCTTTTATTACATATTATTAGTATTTAGTCTTTTGGCAGAAATGGTCCCTCATCATTATTATTATTATTGTTAGACAAAATTACACGATTGGTCCCTATGGTTTACCAGATTTAACATTCTCTTTTTGGTTTTAAATTAATGTTTTATTTATTAGAAAATATCCACCCAATACCATAAACCCATCCACCATCTGCCATCACCACCACCACCACCACCGCCAAAATTACATAAATGGTTCATATGGTTTACCCATGGTGACAAATTCAGTCCCTACTGCCTGAAAAGACCAAATTACCCTCACATTAACAGACAAAAAGCAACC